ATTATTCCTTGATTTCCTACTAATGAACCTGATAACAATAGATGGTTCTTTTTGTGGATAGTCTTCTGTGGTGTTCACATTTGCTACAACTCTTGCGTAGGTCTGGTGTTTAACTTCAAGTCCAATAATTAACAAATCATCTAATTTTGTGCATCGTTCCAAGATCATTTTTGTTCCAGTTCAGTTATTTTTTTTGTTTCTGTTACTTATCAGAGCTTTCAATAGCTTTATTTCTTCAATCAAAAGATGGATCAAAAGTTCTTGCTGAGATGCCAATTTTGTCAATTCTGCACTCACAAAGTTAGATTTTTTAAAAATTCCTCCATATTGTCTGAAGTATTTTCCACCAAGTCTAATACTCTTCCTTGCACGCATGTTTTTGGCATGATTCATGCAACTCTTGGGCCTGGCAGTATTAGCTCCCAAGTCCAAAGGCAGTAGCCCGGGGCCTGGCAGTAGTAGCTCTCTGGTCCGAAGGCAGTAAACCAGGGTCTGGCAGTAGTAGCTTCCTAAGGGTTCCCACTGACAACCATACACCTCAGCTTTTCTACAAGATTCGCCTATTTTTCTACATGGCGGTTTAGTTTAGTTTTCCTTCCCTCATCTCTAAATGTAATTTTAGCCAGATGGAATGGATCAAATGACAGCTTACCCAAAAGAAGAACAAGAAGACAAACAACCTACAGAACCAGACTCAGGATGGGTATTCCTCTGCCTCAACCAGTCAGGACAATGAGGAATGTAAGATAACTGCACGAACAGAACCTTTGGTGTTGTTTGGTAGTAATCCAAGYAGTAGTATGTAACAACTCTGTTGTAAAAGTTATTTTTCAACTCGTTTTGTGTTATAGCATGTTAGCATGCTGCTACCAGGGCTGTGTCCATCACACGTTGGTGTCATTCTGACTTTATGCTTCAAGTGCTAACTTATTATGCTAAATTTGTGTTCAAAACTCTGACAAACTATTGGAGTGAACTCTTTCTGTCTGTTAACAAAGTATCTCATGAACCAATGGATTTTGATGAAACATTCAGGAAATAATTATTCATTGTACATCTACTATTGATTAACCTTTCTTAATCGACTTTATAAAATATGAAAATAGAATAGTCTAGAATAGAATAGTCTTTATTGTCATTGCACAAGCTAGTACAATGAAACTGAACATAGAAAGACATGTAGGACAACATCAAAATATACATTTCTGTGACAAACCTGTGACAAAATCAATAATAAAGTTGCGCTTAGGATGTTTGGCTGGTGTGCAGAGTCCAGATGGCCCATTGGAAGAAACTGTTTTTATGTCTGTTGGTGTGGCCCTAGAGGGCAGCAGGTTGAGCAGGTCGTGGCCAGGATGAAGGTGGTCTTGAAGATCCTCTTTATCCTTGAGAAACAACAGCTGCTGACAATATTGTCAAGGGATGGGAGAGGATAACCAGTTATTTTCTCAGCAGTCTTGATCACTCCCTGCAGCCTCTTCTTCTCAGCAGTGGTGGTATACTGAATAGTATACCACACAGAAAGCGTTTGCCAGCACACTCTCTGTGGTGGAGCAATAGAAGGTTACCAACAACTTAGTGTCCAAGTTGTACCATCTGAGTACTCTTAAGGAGGAGTTCCTGCTGGGCCACCACTGTTGTGTTGACTGACCAGGAGAGGTTTGCTGAGATGTAGGTTCCCGAGAATTTGAACTGAGGGACTCTCTCTACACTGTTGCCATTGATGTAGAGTAGTGCAGGGGCAGCTTTGTTCTTCCTGTAGTATGTGACCATCTCCTTGGTTTTCAGGGTGTTGAGCTACAGGTTGTTACTGGCACACCGCACTGCCATTCGTTGCACCTCGTCCCTGTATGCCAACTCTTCTCCACCAGTTATAAGTCCCACCAGACTAATGTAATCTGCATATTTGATGATGGTATTGGTGGAGTAAGAAGGTGGTGCAGTCATGAGTTTAGATGACAAACACAAGTGGGCTCAGCACAAAGCCATAGCGGGAGCCAGTGCTGAGTGTTAGGGTGGAGGAGCTCTGTGCACCATTTCTTACAGACTGAGGAGAATTTGTAAAAAAAAAAAAGTACTTCATTCAAGTGGATGTGGTAGGAGGGAAGTCGGCGGCTAACAGTTTGTCCACCAGGATGCCGGGACAGATAGTATTAAAGGCTGAGCTAAARTCTACATAGAGCATAACCAAAAAGGACTCAGAGAGTTCTAGGTGGGTCAGAGAGGTTTGGAGGGCAATGGAGATGACATCAGCAGTGGATCTGTTAGATCTGTATGTGCATTGATGAGGATTGCAGTACAGTGGCCGATAAGGGTTGACAGAATGCAAAAGCTACAACACAACAAGACAACAAAAGCCACAAACCAAGCCACAACACAACACGGCGGTAAAAGCCACAACACAAAATGACAACAAAAGCCACAATATAAGTCATGATTAAATGGAAGTTATGCTAAAGCAGAATTTGAGTATAGAAATTCTACCAGGAATTCAAAATTTTAAAGTACTAATCATTTAAATATAACCCTAATATCAAATGACACAAAAGTGGTTGATTAAACTATTTAAGTACTTAAATTCTAAATTATTTAACTTAGATGAATGAAATTTGCACATTTACAAAAAAAAAAAAAAACTCAAGATATCAAAAAAGATATTAAAATAGTGACCGCAGTCTTTATTTACTGTGTGGCTGCAGGTGCTGCTTGTTCTGTAATCACATATTTACCTCCGCCAATGGTGAGATAATGTTTTCGGTCACGTATGTCTGTCCGTCTGTCTGTCGGTCTGTCTGTGGACAACATTACTCAAAAACTTGTGGATGGATTGTCGCGACATTTTTACCACATGTGGGTACTGGGCCAAGGAATTTTGGTGATGTTCCGGATCATGATGCGGATACAGGATTTTTTTTCTTTTAACACTCTGTCATTGGCAAAGCAGTGAAGCTTTCACAGGGCGTGGGTTTCAAAGTGTCCAGCAGGTGGCACTGTAGTATTGGTGTGCCCCTTTGTTCTAATGGCGCGTTCACACCAAACGCGATTTCAGCATCAGGAGCATCAGGTTTACATGCAAAGTCTATGGTGGACGCGCTTCAATCAGCGTCTGGAAGTGCTGTGGCGCCTCAAGCGCGATTAGAGCAGCACGATTTGAACGATCTGAGCGTTCGACGCGCTTGATGCGCAAATCGCTGAAGTTAGAAAATCTGAACTTTTGTGGCTCGGCGCGCTGCGCCAACCAATCAGAGAGACTCCACTGTGTGACGTAGTGACAGATTTCCCAAAGGGACAGTTTACTGAATGGTGTCCACTAACCTGAAACAGATGGAGAGGAGCTCTTTAGCTGAAATCGAGTGCCTGTAGTCGGTGTCCTGACATGAGATATCAGCACCAATGAGTGGCAGCGGCTCATCAGACTGGACTCAGGACAAAAATAGTCCTGAAAGCGAACTGTGAGCCTCTCCCGCAGCTCCTGGGTGATGAAACTCAGAATGTCTCTGAATTATCTGGTGAATTAATTATGAATTAATTATCTGATGAACGTGACATGCTCTTGCTCTCTGTAAATAAAGCAAAGTCACTTCCTGTCCGACATTAAACAGAGCCCGACAGAGGAGGGAGGGGCGGGGAGGCTGTTGCCGTGCAACGCTTCAAGAGCTGTCCTGCGTCTGACCTCAAAGTGCACAAGCGACCAACTTCAGCCTTGGCTGCGATTTTGAAGCTGAAATCGCGTTCGGTGTGAACGCAGCATAAGAGTTAAATTGCATGTGTGATGTCATATCTGTGAGACAAGGGAATGGTGTGTGATTTGGGAAAACGTCATAAATTGGTAAGATGACCAGGAAATCACCTTGAATGTTAATAAATAATGCTAATATGTTCAATATTGTAAGATGAATGTAAAATTTATTTTGTAGAGATGAGGATTCACTTAGATTGGTTCATGAGCAATGTGACCTGGCCAAGACTATTGGACTCCACCGGGAAGAAATCCCTTGCATATTGCTTGCTTAAATGTTGGCTACACGAGAACTTATTCGGCAAATGTGTTTCCATCTCTGCTTTTGCGCATTAACTCTATTACAGGATGGGGGAAATTGGTCTTGGCGGAGGTTTGCACTCTCCGAGTGCTTCTAGGTTTTTTTTTTTTTATTTTTACTTAGTGTGAATTTCCTGTCACTTTGCTGATGATGCACCTGAAATTCTGCACTGAGGGACAAATACAATTTATAAATAATTCATATGTACTTTTATTTACATTCCAGACCACATATTTGTCCTTGTTAAAGAGCATAAAACAAAGTTTTTCAGCATGAAAACTTGCATTTTTAATGTGTGAAAGTGTCCTAAAAAATAAAATTAAATGAAAAAAAAAGTTGTGTGAAAATTTTTGTGGAGTTACAACTATTTTAGTTGGGTGAACAGCTTCCTCAGTATAAACTAGATAACGCATAGCGGTAACATAACGACCCCCGCACGCACAAATGCACCAGAAC